AGGTAGTGATTGCTGACCTGGTAAGTAAAGCAAGAGAGGATTGTGGTTTTTGGAAGAAGAGGTAGAGTGAGAGGAAGAGCAGGACGCGTAGTCCAAAAGACAAAACTAGCGCGGAGGCCCACCGCCAGCCTCGGATCGGAGGACCAAATCCTCCGATACTCGAAAGTAGTCTATTAAACCAGGACTCATCACAACCCCTCCCGTTGCCGCTGCTGCTTCTTGTTTGGTAGTAGTAGAGAGATGAGGTTGCTGCCTGTTGCCGTTGCTGACGTGGGGGAGGAGTACCGAACTTTGTCCTGGTGGTGGTGGTTCAGCTGAGACTGCCGATTGCCTGCAGCTCAGCAATGAAGCACCCGCTTTAGACCCGTTGGAGTATCGCGGTAATGATCTCACTGTGCTTCTTCTTCTGCTACATATTCTTCTCCTTAGGTAATTGGAGGACATTTTCTGGTGACCGTAGATATTTGTACAAGGCCAAAAGCAGGAAGCCACCGCAACCACCCCACTTCCGATGGGCGCCATGGATCCTAGACACCGTGGACAGTAGTGGAGACTTGAGATCACGTCTCTCCACCCGGGCTAGGCCTCCTAATTAATCAAGTATTACTACTAATTGGTACTTGAGTACAATTTTAAATGTGGATTTAGGACAAACAAGATAGGCTCCAAACTAGTAGCAAGGACCAATCTTTTGTTTTGATTGTACCTCTGTGTCCTTAGTAAATTGCTGGACAAAATTGCTCCCGGACATTGTCACGTGTAATGCTAATTTCATAACTTAAGAGCAATTAACGACGAAATGGTCACGTATTTACGGATTAAATTGTTTAGTGGCCAATTATTGATAAAAAAATAATTCGATGGCCAAAATATGATCTCACCAATAGTTTAATAGCCGCTGAGATTTTTTGCCCAAATTAAAGCATGCCCTCGCTATTATCCACCAGGTGACAAATGGCAGGACTGTAATCATTTGGAGAGCAAATTTATATTGATCAAAATATTTATGACCACTTTGGCACATGGGCCTAATACTGGATCAAAAAACTGAACTGGATCAAAGCATCTCCCCTGCCTTTTCTCCAACCCTTTTCTCTTGCAGCCAACTTTCTTCCTCTCACAGGGGAGTAGGGCCATCCCTCTAATTTCTTTCTTCTTTTCTTATTTTGTTTAAATAGCAGCTTTTCTTAAGTTTTGTTTAATAGAACCATTCTCTCTCTCTCCTAAATTTCTTAGTGATAGTTTTATCTCTCCTAAATTCTTTTAATAGGGGTTTTGTTCTCTTCTTAGATTTCTTTTTTGAAAGTTTTGAATTTTTTTATACTTTTCTTATTAGATCTGAAATTTCTAAAATTTGTTTTGTCAGATCTAAAATTCTCAAATCTGTTGTGTCAAATCTAACTTTCTCTATGGGCCAAGTTTGTTTAACGTCAAATCTGACAATTCAAGACATGGGCAGAATACTGCCATGCATAGAATGGAGCTGCAGTAGTGATTCATCTGATATAAAAACATTTTGGGTTATTTCGTGGTGGTATCTTTTAATTTTCAGATCTATTCCTAATTTTTTATATCTATTGTATCAGATCTATTATTCTTAATGCAGATTAGGACAATGGATTATGAATTTTTTTAAAAAAAAAAATAATAAAATGGGCACCTTAAAAAAATTTAATTGTTTTTAAGAAATTTGTTAAACAAGAACTTTTAAAGCTGTTTTCCATAAAAGTTAGAATAATTACCAAATCAACGCCAAATACCTTTCTTGTTATCTTTTTTTTTTTTTTGTTTCATTTCAAACTAAAAAAAAACTGAAAGTGGTAAACTTTTCAAAACATAATTAAATTAAGAAAAAACTATACAAATAGCCCTTTACGTATTGCATTTATAGTTATTTACTTACTCACTTATAAAATGATACAAATTCGTCCCTCACATATACAAATTACACCATTTTAGTCTCAAAACCCATTTCAGAAAACTTTTTGCACTAAAAATATGGCGGGATCACAATTCACACATGCTTATAGTTTTAGGTGCAAAATAACTATTACACAAGCACGATTTATCAATACCATTTTTCATTTTGTTCTTTTATTGTTTTCCTGGCAATTACAAGTTTTATTGGTGGTCAATGTGCTTCATTTTTTCTTTCATTTTTTTCGGTAATTAGTCTTCTTTATTGTTGTCAGCAATTAAGATAGATGATTTTCAGTTTAAATATCTTTGAAGCAATTTGTGAATCTCTTATGCTAATTAAATTTCTTAAAAAAAAGTGTTGGATAATGTTTCAATCATTTAATTAGTTAATTATAATATGAACAAAAATTTTAGTGAGTAAACTAAAGCGAATGGTCTGTACGTGAACAGATTCCAAGTTCTCTTTGATTTGTCACTTGCTTTGATAAATGGAATTGGAATTACAGAAGGAATTTTAATTTTACTGTCCCTTTAATCCATTTGATTTGGCATGAAAAACTTTTACTGGAACAATAAGCCTTACTTTATTAAAAGTGCAAAAGCAATCATGTGTGCAAGAAATCTTTTTAGTTGATTATTCATGACTGTGTTCTTTTTTAATTATACATTTGAAAAGGTAATGGAAAAAAAAGTCCAATATATATTAGGATTCTAGCATGTTTTTGAGTCTTGCCTTATAAAATTAGGATTTGTTTTTGAGTTTTGAAATTTAAATTTCTTCAGCCATTTTAGGCATATTAAATATTGTGGTCATTGGTATTTGAGTGGTGATTTCATTTTTCCTAAAAAGAAAATCTCGGAACTCTTTGGTGCATTTTTGTAGAGACATTATATTCATTGAGTGGTTAGCTTTATATTTTCTTCACAGGTTTTAAAAACCTTTTTAAGTTTTTTGAGTGATTTATTAATCGAAGAATCTTTTATCCATCCGTGGTTATTGTTAACCTCAAAATATTAATAAGTGGATGTTGTTACCATTGTTATGCTTTTGGCCATGCCTTGCAATTAGTAAATTATTGCAATATTTGTGGACATAGGTTATGCTTCAAATGGTTTCAGTTAAAAATTGTGGTTGAAATAACTAATGAAAGTAAGTATCAATATGACGTACTTCTATGGATTCTGAATTTTTTTGTGCATCCCCTTCATATTAGAACCTAATTTCCAAGGATAAGTGATTAATTGTTAAAATGTTCATGTATGTAAAAAATTTTATCTCAAAATCTAAATAATTTTATATAATAGATATTTCATTTCGAAACTGGATTGATAATCTGTTGAAATGTACAAAGAAAGAAAGAAAGAAAGAAAATATATGTTAGCTTGTCAATCTAATTTACATATAATATAATTGAGTGTTTAATAATTAATATATGTGAAAGAAAAGGAGAGAACTCATGATCAATTAATCGTTCATAGTGCAAAATGATAAGCACATGTAGTATGCCCAATTTGAGACCAACTATAAATCCAAAAGAGAAGAAAGATATGAGAAACTAGTGGCATTATAAAACAAAGAAAATAAAAAAGAAGTAAAAGAAATTTAAATAGTATTTGTAATACACGTCTAAAAACAATTTTGATCTAATTCATTTATCGTTTTATTTAAAACTCTTAATAATATTACTTAAAACTTAAGAAACTATAACAATTCAAACTCTAAATAGTGGGGACAAAAAAAATGCAAAGTAAAAACTGTTGGCTGAAGGTAAATTGATTTTGACCATGAGAATTATTGAATTGTTGTCTATTGTCCTAAATTTGAAAAAAAAAAAGGAGAAATTTTGGAGATCAAATTTATTTTGATCAAAACAGTTGGGCCTAATACTGAACTTCTCCCAATAAAGATGTTCATTTCAAGTTTACAGTTTGATATGCATTTTAGGTAATATTGACTTTTTCTTTTGTTCATTTCAAGAGGACGGGGTGCAAATGTCATTTCCTATTGTCGTCAAATGTATAGTAGAAACCATTACGTGGAATCTGACAATCATAGCTTCAAAACATTGGTGAATCCATTAACGACTGTTAACAATTACAACATTTTCTATGTATGAAAGATTTGGGATTGCAGCCTGACCTGCAATTACATCACCACAACTCTGCATCAAAGTCAAAGGTTATCGGACCAGTGAGGCTGTTATTACCCAAGCCTAAATACTCCAGATCTTCCAACTTAAACAATGACCTTGGAATGCTTCCAGTGAAGTTATTGCTGTTGAGGTTGATGTGATACATGAATGGGTAATTCATCCAACAGTCAGGAATTTCTCCTGATAGACAATTCTTCCCAAGATCCAAATATTGAAGAACTTGATTTTCATTCTTCACTTCACACAAAATGTGAGAGGTGCCTCCTGAAAATAAATAATTGGAAATTAAGTTCTAAATAATTGTGTGCATATAAACCTTTTAACAGTTTTAGAGATATTTAAACATTTACCATAAATTAAATTCTACGTGGACCGATGTGAGTTGACTATAATGCATTGAATGTGCTTGACTATAATGCACATATAAATCTTTAATAACTTCAGAGATATTTGAACTCTTACCATGGAGTTGATTGTGAGAAAGGTATATATATTTCAATGATGAGTTGAATAACCAAGATGGAATAGTATCTGAAATTCCTGTGAAGGACAAGTTCAAAACATCAAGAAATTTTTGTGATCGGATCCATGTAGGAAATTGGGGACCCAGCTTCCATGAGCCCCATCCAAGTGTTTGAAATTGGGTACGAGGAGTCCAACTTGCACTTACTTTTATTTTTTTTCAACAGCCTGAATCAGACTTTTGTTGTTTTATAAACCTAATCCCAGAATTAACCTCAAAAGCCGGCAACTCTTGAGGCAATCCCAGGGACTTATATCCCAACCCAAACCCAACCCCAACCCCGATGTGGGACAAATGTACCTATAGGGGGGACCTGCTGCTAAGTGGGATACTACCACCCAATACCCTTTCAACCCTGAGGCAATTTGTCTTTTTTCAACAGCCTGAATCAGACTTTTGTTGTTTTATAAACCTAATCCCAGAATTAACCTCAAAAGCCTGTGGGACAAACTTGCACTTACTTTTAAGGTCAAGGAGTTTCCAGATGCCTCAAAAATCCTTAAAGCTGCCAGATTGTCTAAGTGGCTCTCACTCACAATACCTTCTATTAAATTATCAGCAATACGAAGCTCTTCAAGTTTGGAAAGCTGCCAAAAACTTTCAGGAAGAGTTCCAGTGAATTTGTTGTGAGATACATCCAAGGATGACAGTTTATTTGAGTTGCCAACTGTGCTTGGAATTGGACCATTTAAGTAATTATTGCTTGTATCAAGTGAAATCAAGTCCTTCAATGTGAATACTTCACTTGGTAAAGAGGAGCTAAGGTTGTTATAAGACAGATCAAGATGTTGAAGGTTGGAAATGTTGGCAATAGAGCTTGGGATAGAACCTCGAAAGTGATTGTCGCCAAGATCAAGTGAAATTAGGGCAGTTAAAGTGGATAATTGGCTTGGGAGGAAGGTAGCGAAGTGATTCACTGATAGATCCAAAGATGCAAGGGAACTCCAATTCCAAATTCCTTCCAAGAAGCCTTCTAATTGATTCCCCCCAAGGTTGAGAGAAATGAGATTGTTAAGATGAATAAGCTCGTCTGGTAGTGAACCATTTAGATAGTTTCTAGAAAGATCCAAGAGCTTGAGGGAAGTCAAGTTCCTAAGATCTCTGGGCAATGGACCTTCAAACGAGTTATCACTTAAATCAAGGGAAGCAAGGGCAGTAAGACCGAAAATCCATCTAGGGATGAGGTGTCCAAGAAAATTTCCAGAAAGATCTAGGACAGTAAGAGAAGAAAAGTTGGCATGGAAGACAAATGTATCTCTGCCAAGATGATGAGAAATTAAATCAAGTTGACAATAGGGCAGATGTATCTCTACCAAGGAAGGGATCGTGTTAATCACCTCTAGCCAATTAGACGCCGTACTAAGGTTCACGCGACTCATGTCTAGGTGCTCCAGATTGGAGAGACCAGCCAACCATTGCAGGTTATCAACTTGAAGATCGGAAACTCGATAGGTTTCCAAGCTTAAAGTGCGTAAGCTTGACAGGTTTCCAAGCTGATAGGGGACCATTCCTTGAAATCCAGCTCCAGATAAATTCAGGTACCTTAGACTTCTGAGAGACCCAAAAAAACTGGGAATTGGAATTCCACTGAAATCATTTAGACTTAGATCAAGGTAACGCAAGTGAGTCAAATTTTGTAACGAATGACTGATTTTACCGCTTAATGCTGATATTTCCTGATCACCAAAATCATCAATTTCAGGATCAGGACCCTCAAGGAGAAGTTGAATCACGCGGCCACTTCGGTTGCTACAAACAACTCCTTTCCATTTGCAGCAATCAACGTCGTGTATCCAAGACGAGAGTCTACCAAAGGGATCTTCCAAGTCTTTCTTGAAGTCCAAAAGAGCTTGTTTCTCGCTTGCATAGCAAGTTGCATTTACAGTTTTGGTGGAAGAACAGAGTAAAATTATTGCGACGAGTAAGAAAACAGAGAAATGGGTTGATCCACCCATGGTCATGTGAAATGTCGGAAGAAATACTTCAGCTATGTTGCAGATAGATATATAGAGCTGGCTGGCAGTGGTCGTCAAATTATGATGGAAGAAATTCACAGTTGATATAAAGCTTGACAGTTGACGTGGCTATCAATATCAGGCTTGGAAAGCATATTTACATTGACAAGTCAACAATGGAAGACCCAGGAATCTGATTTCGAAAAGAATTTATTATTCATTATTCAGAAATTTTAACCTCAGAAATGATTTGAAACAATTTACGAAGAAAATTACATAAACATAAAATTAACAAGTTAAAATGAGAATTGGGATTGGGGGAGAGGAAAGTTCTTCTTTTGTCTTTTTTTTTGGTAGTTTTTGGTAGTTCAAAGCGAGATATATGTTCTAAAGCGCACATATATTAGGATTAATATTTTTGTGGTAACAATGCACTAAAATTAGTAGAGCCAGAAAATAAGGAGAAAAGGGAGCATGAAAGCTGTTTTGATTGTCCTACTTTGTACCTATGCCTTAATACAAATTGTAGTACCAAAATAATTTTAGGGAAAATCGTCAATTTCGTCCCTAAATTTTTTTTTTCTGTCGATTTAGTCCCGATACATTATTTATAGTCAATTTAATCTCTAAATTTATATTTCGCTTCCAATCAAGGAGCTTAGCGGCGGAGCACCGCACAATTTCCTTCAAGCTCCCAATTGAGCAACCCAGAAGGGGTATTTTAGGAACTTCCATTCTGGAGCCATTAACCAAAATTAACCGAAACAAAAGTTTCGTAAGAAATACCGACTCAAAACCCAAAATGAAAACAAAAGAATTTCTTGCTCAGCTCTTATAGAAGAGGGGTGGCGGCCTTCAAGCCTGGCTCTTTCTTCGCCGTCTGGTTCTCCCTCATCGCTGCTCAGATCGCCTTCTTCTTCAGCTCTTCCCTCCTGCTCTCCACCTTCAATTCCGTCTCCCTCGGTCTCCTCGCCTTCTTCGCCTGCGCCCTTACCAATTTCTTGATAGGGGTCTTGGTCTCCCTCCAATTCAAGTGGATCCAAATAGAGTATCCCACCATCGTCCTGGCCTTGGAGCACCTCCTGTTCGCGTGCGTTCCCATCATGGCTTCCTCCATCTTCACTTGGGCCATAGTCTCGGCCGTCGGAATGGTCAACGCCTTGCGTTTTCTACTGGATTTTCTCCATCCCCCGTGTGTCGTCATTCAAGTTGAAGCAGGAGGTCAGCTACCATGGAACTGTAGACACCGGCTGGAGCCGTGGGTGGACCCGCTCTACTTCGGTAACTTGATCCAGAGCATCCCAACCGTGGCTTGAATGGAGGAGCTGCTGGGCAACGACCCGTCCTGGGGTGCGGATCGGCTGCATCGAAATGTGTTGGCGCATGACGATTCCACGGTGCGACGGGGTGTCGAGGAATGGGAGAGTAATCCAAGGCTGTTTCCGCTGGGGAACTTTGACGGCGCGATGATCACCATGGGAAGCTCCCCAAGGTTTCCAATGTATGATAATGATTTTGGGTGGGGACAACCCATTGCAGTGCGAAGCGGTAGGACCAATAAATTTGACGGCAAGATCTCGTCATTCCCAGGGCGTGAAGGAAATGGGAGCGTCGATCTGAAAGTTGTTTTAGCACCAGAGACTATGGCTGGACTTAAGAAGGATGTGGAATTTATGCAGTATGTATCCTCAATCCTGACCGACTCAATTCTAGTGACTCCTCCAGAGGCGCCTCCTTCTCCGTGCACCTGCATCATGAATATTGGACAAAATTGAAACACCCTTAAATGGATGCAGGATTGCAGCCAAATTTCCTCCTCCAAAACAGAAAAAAAAAACCTTAGTCGAGAAGGAGAGAACAAATAAAAGATTTTTTTTTTGTTTGAAAAAAAAAATTACCGAAGAAAAAGACGTACTATAATATAGGAATAGTAGCATACAATATCTGCAAATGGTTGAGATCTCAAGCGTGGTGCGTTGAAAAGACAAGAACTTTAATTTTTGTTACGGGCCCACCATTGAAATTCCTAAAATACCCCTTCTGGGTTGCTCAATTGGGAGCTTGAAGGAAATTGTGCGGTGGCTCCGCCGCTAAGCTCCTTGATTGGAAGCGAAATATAAATTTAGGGATTAAATTGGCTATAAATAATATATCAGGATTAAATCGACAGAAAAAAAAAGTTTAGGGACGAAATTGACGATTTTCCCATAATTTTAAAATTCTCCCGATAGTTTTAGTTATCAACTAAAATTGTATTAAAAAATTATTCTTTTCGTTATTTTATTTAACTTCGTTTGATAAAGTGCCATATATCAAACTAACAATTAGTTTCCCTATAAAAGTATGCCATTAACATCTACATTACTATACAGTTAGTATTATTTTTTAATAACAATTATAAAAATATAAAGCTTTCTTTTCTCCAAGTTTCTTATAACAAACCAACTCTTAGTTTCTTTGATAACTACAACTTTAAAATAGTAACTAAAGTAACACTCCTGTATATGTCATATAGGAACTCAAAAACGAAGAAAACAAACTATATATCTATTCTGGCTATCATACAAATTGAAAAAGTTTCAATTATGGTTTTGAATGCCTCACATAGACAATAAATAAAATGATATAGAGTCTAATATTCACATTTTTCTTTGAACTTTGCCTTTATTTTTTTTTTAAAATTTCTTATGTTTAACTATAATCTATTGAAATTTCATTATATATTTAACATGCTTTATTTGCTATAGAAATTTTTGCTATTATATCATTGATGATTCGTTTCAACTAAAGTAAAAGCTGATGCATATTTTCAAGTGTATATACATCAACACGACCTACATAAAAAGACGATTAAACATAATAAACTTAATAATTCTGTTGATTTAATCTACATATAAGATTGTTATACAAGTCATTGAGCAGTGCTTACTGAAACTTTAAAGTATATATGAAAGACATCAAAGGTTATGGAATATATATGCGTCATTAAAAAAAAAAAAAAGACTTCAGGGAAACTCCTACATGCTAGTAAAGAAAATCGTATTAATTGTAGATTAATATGATCTGATCACATCCTAATTGGTTACTTTCTTATTTGTCGTCACTTTTTTGGATATTGAACACAATATTTGGAAATGATTAAAAGGAGTGAGTAAATTAGTTTTTTTTTTAAATATTTTTCGGCTCAAGCGAAACGTCCAAATCTTGCAAGAAGGAAGGAGAAAAGAAGGAACACGAAGGGGGGGGGGGAAGAAAAATGACTTAAGAGTCAAATCAGAAATCTAACAGACACTTGACTAACTATCCTAAAGTGCGTCTTGCGGGAAGTTTTTGCTACTAACCGTATGTAAAGCATTGCATCCAATTTAAACATTTTTGATAGCCTTTTAAACTTCTATTCTTACTCCCATGATGATCCACGAGCCCAATTCAAGTATTTCAAATTGGGCACGAGGAGTCCAACTCGCACTTACTTTTAAGGTCAAGGAATTTCCAGATGCATAAAAATACCTTAAAACTGTCAGATTGTTGAAGTGGCTCTCACTCACGATACATTCTATTAAATTATCAGCAATACCAAGCTCTTCAAGTTTGGAAAGCTGCCAAAGACTTTCAGGAAGAGTTCCAGTGAGTTTGTTGTGAGATGCATCCCAGAACTCCAAGGATGACAGTTTTCCTAAATTTGATGGAATTGAGCCAGATAGAGCATTATCATTTAGCGAAAGGTCTTCTAGCTTGGTACATCTTCCTAAATGTGATGGAATTGAGCCAGACAGAGCATTATCACCTAGCCAAAGCATTTCGAGCTTGGTACAGTTGCCAACTGTGCTTGGAATTGGACCATTTAACTGATTACTATTTGCAGCAAGTGTAATCAAGTCCTTCGATGTGAATACTTCACTTGGTAAAGAGGAGCTAAGGTTGTTACGAGACAGATCAAGATATTGAAGGTTTGAAATGTTGGCAATAGAGCTTGGGATAGAACCTCGAAACTGATTGCGGCTAAGATCAAGTGAAATTAGGGCAGTTAAAGTGGATAATTGACTTGGAAGGAAGGTAGAGAAGTTATTGTTTGATAGATCCAAAGATGTAAGGGAACTCCAATTCCAAATTCCATCCAAGAAACCTTCGAATCGATTCCACGAAGGTTGAGAGAAATGAGATTATTAAGATGAATAAGCTCATCTGGTACTGAACCATTCAGATAGTTTCCAGAAAGATCCAAGAGTTTGAGGGAAGTCAAGTTCCAGAGATCTCTGGGCAATGGGCCTTCAAACGAGTTATCATGTAAATCAAGATAAGCAAGGGCAGTAAGATCGAAAATCCATCTAGGGACGTATGCAAAAAAATTTGTAGAAAGATCGAGGACAGTAAGAGAAGAAAAGTTGGCATGGAAGAGAAACGTATCTCTGCCAAGTTGATGAGAAATTAAATCAAGTCGACAAGCGGGCAAATGTATCTCTACCAAAGAAGGGATCGTGTTAATCACCTCTAGCCAATTCGATGCCGTACTAAGGTTCACGACACTCATGTCTAGGTGCTCCAGATTAGAGAGACCAGCCAACCATTGCAGGTTATCAACTTGAAGATCGGACGCCAGAAAAAGTTCTTCGCCAACTTGAAAATCGCCTCCTAAGCTTAAAGTACGTAAACTTGACAGGTTTCCGAGCTGATAGGGAACCATTCCTTGAAATCCAGCTCCAGATAAATTCAGATACCTTAGACTTCTGAGAGACCCAAAAAAACTGGGAATTGGAATTCCACTGAAATTATTTAGACTTAGATCAAGGTAACGCAAGTGAGTCAAATTTTGTAACGAATGACTGATTTTACCACTTAATGGTGATTCAACAACAATCTCATCTTGAAATTCAGGATCACCAAAATCATCAATTTCACGAACAGGACTCTGAAGGTGAAGTTGAATCACGCGGCCACTTCGGTTGCTACAAACAACTCCTTCCCATTTGCAGCAATCAACGTCGTGAATCCAAGACGAGAGTCTACCATAGGGATCTTTCAAGTCTTTCTTGAAGTCCATAAGAGCTTGTTTCTCACTAGCATAGCAAGTTGCATTTGCAGTTTTGCTGGAAGAACAGAGTAAAATTATTGCGACGAGTAAGAAAACAGAGAAATGGGTTGATCCACCCATGATCATGTCAAATGTCGGAAGAGATACATTGCATTCGGCTATGTTGCAGATAGATATATAGAGCTGGCAGTGGTCGTCAAATTATGTTGGAAGAAATGCACACTTGATATAAAGCTGACAATTGACAAGTCAACAAACAACTCTTTAGTTTCTTCGATAACAACTTTAAAATATAACTAAAATCATGTACATGTTACATAGGAAATCAAAGGCCAAGAAAACAAATTGAAAAAGTTTCAACTGTGATTTTGAATGCCTCACACAAACAATAAATAAAATGATATAAATATTCACATTTTTCTTTATGCATTGTTTTTTATTTTTTTTTAAATTTTTTGCTTCTAATTATAATCTATTGTGCTTTCATTGCTTGTAATATCATTGGATGATTCGTTCCCACTCTGATGCATAAATATAAAGATTATTGAAACTTTTCAGTATATAAAGTTGTCATTAAAGTTGCTTTGATTATTACCTTTGTAATTATATCGTATAATACAAGTTTGTAATACCAAAAACAATTTAACGGAATCTCATCACTCAAGCATAGATATTTACTCATATATATCTATGCACACTGTTTTTGTCCCATCAGAATATTAGTTTTTATTATTGCAAGCATTGCGATTTACTTTTACAAGAAAATTCCAATTTGGATGCCCAATGTTAGAGGGATGGAGACCAAAATGGTCTCTTTGCATACACGTTGGACAAAACAAATTTAGCAATCAAAGTTTGGAAGGTGAAAATTTTTGATTCAAATAATAATTCTTTTTCTTAAGTAAAATTTAAAAAAAAAAAAAGGAATTTCAGTCCGCACAATGTTTTCTAAGAATCGTAGTAATTTTTTTTGCAATGCAGAAATTCCATTTCAAGTTTAAAATGGAAAAAATACTGAAATGGAAAATAAAATTGAAAGAAATAGATTTCAGGTGCAACACAAGCACAAAAGCAGTGGAAAGTGCTGAAATACTTTGACTTTGGAAGCACATATAATGCTGATATGTACCTTAGCATAAATATATCATCACATCCTATGTGCAAAGTTTTTCTTTCTGATCTACCTTACTTCTGCAATTCGTAGAATCCTTCATATACTAATAAAAAGTAATTGGACCTTATCTTTTGACTACTTTTCCTCATTCTTCATATTTTATAAATGTTCGTGCCAATGAAAAGTTTGAAGATAATTACGTTTATTATGAAAATCTTTGAATGGGGGGCTGAGTAATTTTGTTATTATTCTAAAGTTGAACTATTCATTTGTTCATTATTTGCAATTAGGACAACTTAATATTTTTAGGCTAGAAAAAAGAATATTTACAGTGTGTCCTTTCCCCTAATCAAATTGATGGCTAATAGGATGCCGTGTTGACAAAGGACCAAGGCCTCAAATTTTCCAGCAAATACAAGGGACCAGACCTCAAGACCTCAAGTTTTCTAGCAAGAAAGAGACTTCACTAAACTGGAGAAGTATTTGATTTAAACTCTTTACATGTAGAATGTGCAAATTTTATTAGTAGTCACGATCAGAACTATGACAAATATGTCAAACTTATAAGCATTGTAAGTAATTGCAATTTCTAACTAATAAGATAACTTTCATTTCATGAAGTCAAGGAATATCATAATTTTGCTTTAGTTTTGAAAATTTTTTCTCCAATAAATGCAAAACCACAAATTACGTATTTCCAAATTTAATATCACATCAAGTATTCTATTTACACTAATTATCATAAGGTTACTTTTCGATTCTGCAGATTAGCATCTAGGGTGGAAATTAAAATTAGAGCAGTAAATGTTGACATTATAATCCTTCCTATATTACATCGAGGGCTTATTGGATTTCGTACAGACTAAAAGACCAAGAAGTCTATTTCCCAACAACCAGATACCAAGATTTCAAATTCTACAGCAAAGACCGAAGATTTTACGTGTGGAATATGCAAATGCACAGGATAGTGACTATGACAACCTTTTAGTAAGGGACTGAATAATTATTGTTGTTATTTCAAAGTTCAAGAAGTGCGATTTAGTTGCATGTTAGCATTTAGGACGCAAAGGTGCGCAAGTTAATACTCCAGCCTAATGACATCAATGACTAATGGGATGCCGTGTAGACAACGGACCGAGACCTCAAATTGGAGATGTATTTGGTTTAAAGTCTTTATCTGTGGAATACGTGCAAATTTTATTCGTAGTCTTGATCTAGACTATGACAAATATGTGAAATTAGACAACGTTGATGGGAATGCTTAGACTTTTTCATGCATAATTATATCTTATTACTTCTTCTATTTCTTATTTCATCTCTTTTGAAACTTTTCTTATGCTAAACTTGTTTGGCTTTAGGTCTTATATTGCATTTTTCATGTTACACTTTAGGGTAAAATATCAAAAAATTTCCTGTGGTTAGTTTTCAAATTGCAGAGAGTTAAATTGTACATTTAACAAAGGGAAAATCGTCCAAAACATCCCTCACATTTTGTAAAATAATTTTTTTCGTCCCTTACTTTTAAAAGTGTAATTTTATGTCCCTTACATATTCACATCAGTCAAATTTAGTCCTTAACTAGGTTTCCGATCATTTTTTTGTCGGATTCCATCACGTGCAAGACACGTGATCATTTTTGAGAGGTAAGTTTGTCAAATTATATTTTGCATGATCTAATTTATTGTCCCTTACATTTCATAAAATAAATTTCTTCGTCCCTTACATTTTATAAAATGATATTTTTCATCCCTCATATTTCATAATATGAATTTCTCCATCCCTCACATTTAAACATAAATTTATGCATTTTTTTCATTTTGTAACAGTTCGCCACCAACTGCGGTTTCAAACAGGAATAAAACGCCTTTTTTCCCCACTTTTTGTGGCAAACCGTTGGGTATGACAACTCATTATGTCGAAGCCTCAGAGACAACCGTCCTAGAGACCTTGGTGGAAAGACTTTTGACTTAAAATATTTCACTTTTGCTCTGTTACATTGACAGAGTAAACAATGGGAAAAAAATGGAAAGCTATTAAAAGCCCAGGTCTTGCTTCTCATTTATTATTTGAGGTCACGAATTTGAGTGGAATGCACATTGGAATTTGATTTGGATAAGAATTAATCATTTCTAGCTTGATTAATGACAAATAAAAACTCATATGGCTTTTAATCACTCTTGGTCTGATTTCAATAAGTATATTTAATGTACAAATTAAAGAGCAACAAAGAAGAATAAGAAAAAATCATCTTTTTCCGTTCACCTTTTGAGGTTCATATTTTTTAAACAGATTCATAATTGTTTCATTAATCAAATACAACATGTACGACACCTGACTTGAGGAACAATCTGATGGCTACAATGAAGTAACCGAAGAGCAGAATATGAAATATTTCATACCAGAATTTGTTCGAGATTGTGAATTTTGTGCATCAATTTCGAAGCCCAGGAGAAAATTTTGAAGAAAAGTTTGTTCCTCTATTTTTTATTCACACACAAAAGAATGCAAATACGAGTCAAATTCAGGTTTATCCTCCATTGTGCGTGAGACCATCGAAGGAAATTATATATATCTGAGTTTATATTTCAACGATCTGGGACAGCAGACATAATGGCTGGGAATGGGCCACAAACTTTGAAAAGTTTGTCCCATCATGTGCATGGTTGAACGGGTCTAGTAAACAAATTGAATCGGATCAAACATGTTAACCGTCAGGCTTGATTTGAAATCTTAAATTTGAACTCGAGTTCTATTCAATTTAACAGTTAATATTCTCAAGTTTAACTTCAATTTTTATTCAAATTTTTAATAATTATATAAATAATACATATATAATATTAATATAATAAAAAAATGTGTAATTTTATATGAAATATCAATAAATATATTATATAAAAAGTTAATCGACCGTAATCAAACCTTGATGAGCGAATATATACAAGTTCAAATTCGATTCGATACTCAATTTAATCGAATTCTATTTTCGTTTAAATTTGAGTTCACGTTCGTTAAAAATTGAAATTAAGTCAAACCCTTGATGAATCAATCGAGTTAAAATTGTTCGCTAAAAATTCAATTTGTTTACAGCCTTATGTTGATGGTCTAAATCATGGCTGTACTGTGCAATTCACGGTCTATCAAGCCAAATGCTAATTGTTCAATTTGGACTACTCATATAAAGATGACTAAGCATAAGAAACTTCATATTGTTTTTCCTATGTCCCTGCAATTCATAGAAACATTCATACACTAACAAGAAGTTATTTAACCTTATTTTCAGCTTAAGTTTTTCTTTCTTCAAATTCTTTATGTTCGTTTAATGGATACGTTTTCATTATAAAAATCTTTTAATGATTAAGGACCAAGTAACTTTTTGTTGTTGTTTCATAGTTTAAGAAGTGATTTAGCTGCGAATTAGCATTTAGGATGCACAAAAAGGTTCAAACGCAGTTCAAAATCCTTTCTATTGTATGCTTTCTCTTTGAGCTAAAGATAATTTTCGCTCATGACAAGCAAGTCTAAGGCGATCTTCAATTTGCTCCTTCACGGAAGCTCAAAAGTTGGAACCAAGCTTACAACTTACAAGATCTGGTAAAGGGTACAGTGACCGCCTTCGTACGATATGAAATGTTAGGCATGTTTCATTTCTGCATAAAAGTTGCAGCAGTATTGTAGTCACATACTTAACCATAAGCAAGGAACAAACTTCCTTGCAGAGTTAGTCGATCCATGTGCAGCTCATAAGAGCAAAAGTGTTCCAAGAAAAAAAAAAAAGAACACTGTGAAAGCAAGAAACTATCATTGCATTTCCAAAAATCTAAACAATTGAAGCATGTTCTACAGCAAGATACAGGATCATTCTCCTTGTCGACAAGTATGATCTTTTCTCTGCAATGTGAGTAGGGAAGGCCTGCAACGTGTTTAGTCTCTTCAATATATCATATTTGCAATAGCTGCACAAAGGCAATCAAGAGCTTGAATCTCACACTGCAAATCCCATCACCAA